TCATATCAATATGAAATCATTAATTTGTCATCTTATCCCAACACCGTTAAATTTTCTATCCAAAATACTTGCACATGACTTATGTTTAGGGTTATTTCAAACGTTTGACCTCATTTTCAATTCGTTTCAGTTGTTTGCCATAAGCAATAGCTTCGTAAAAACAATGTAAGTTTAATATTTATCATTGTTTTAAAGAACAACTATCTGCAAGAACATGTGATATATATTTTGAGGACTATACTGCTGGAAAGAAACTCGATTAGAATTAAGTTTCATTTTTTATTCAGAATAAAAAAAATTATTTCATTGTGTAATCATTTTCATTTTTTGGTTTGTAGAAATCCTACATTTTTATTGTCTTAAGTAAGTTTTTAGAAGGGGAGTGGAGAATTAAAATGTCCTAAATAATCCTAAACACAAGTCATGTGCAAGGCACACGACATATTTTGGAAGAAAAACCTAACGGAGTTAAGGGCATATGACAAATTAATGATTTTAGAAAGTTGATATGATAAATCGATTAAAATTTTAGTTCATATGAAAAATTCATAAAAGTGCGCAAGTTCATATGACATTTTAAAAATTTTCCCATCAACCAAAGGGTTTCATGAAAACATTTAGAAACCTTAATGGATGTTTGTGTACTTTTTTAAACCTTGTGGGAATTCTGGAAACATGAAAAACCTCAAGGGGGATAGTTTTGATAACTCCAAGTAAAAACATGTAGAATCACTAAATTAATTTTTTTTTTTTTGCAAAAGTTGTGTGGTTCCTAACTTTGCAAACAAGGTATCGTTGTCTAGTGTGAAGGATGATGTAGGTTTACTTTGTTAGATGTACCTTTTCTTATAAGGAAAATTAACGAAAAGTTCAAAAAAACTTCCCTTTTAATGAAAAATCATTTTTAAAGGTATAGTGAATAGTACCAGAGAAAGGTATAAATGTGGTTTTTCGTTAAAAGTGAACAGTACCGGGAGTGTTTTGTTAAAACTCTCTTTCTTATAAGGTAAAGTTGTCGTGAAAGATGATGTAAGTTTATTTTGTTAGATGTAACTTTTTGTATGTAAATTTCTCTTGTAAGTCTTTCTTCTTTTAAAAGCAATACTGATAAGATGTGGTAAAATTGTTTGATACCTATTTAATTGGAGATGCACTTAATGTGCCATGTTTTAACATTTGATTTCATGTAATAACATAACAATCTCTGATTTACAGTATATCAGGCTATATTACCAGTTAATAGTGGCTGTATATACTTTGTGTTTTAACTTCTACGTGGGTTCCCTATGCAGCTTAATTATTAAAATGTACACTAAAGTGAATTGAACTTGCGATTGAAATGTCCAAATTAAATTAAAGTCTTTTTCTTCATGTGATCGCCATTTCCTGACACTATAAATAACGACCAAGGTATGAAATATCGATATTATTGGCGAAATATCGCCGATAATATCGTTTTTTTGAGAGGGGGATAGTTTTACACTAATACACTTAATTATCGTCATAATATCGCGATACTATCGATATTATCGATAATATCGCGATATTACCGATAATATCGATAATATCGCCAAGGCTCCGTCGTCGGCGTTGCAACTGCAGCCGAGGCTCCGTCGTCGCAGCTGCCAAGATCTGCGCCTCTCTCTGCAATCCACGCTCAGATGCTCAGACCCAGCAAAATGAGCGATCCACGCTCAGACACTCAGACCCATCAAGATCTGCGCCTCCCTTTGCCTGATGGTGCTCGCCGGGAGGTGAGAAAGGGAAGAGGAACGGTCCACAGGTGGTGATGGTGCTCACCGGAGTGTGCGCCACTGTGGTGGAGGTCACGGTGGGGTGTGATAAAGGGCACTGGGCTTGAGGTTGGAGAGATAAGAGCATTTTCGAAGATTACAAAGAGAGAAGGCTGAGAACCTCTCTATTATTTTAGAGAGAGATAGAGTGGTTGAAGGTTTGAATGAGCAATAGACATGGGGACTTGTTATGGGGACTTCTTCACGGTATGGTTTGAAATGATGGTTTGATGAGAGGTAGATAGCCTTTCTCCTTTTTCTAAAAGGCTGTACAGTTTTGGTTTCTACAAAACAATAAAAAAAATGCAAACAGCTGTTGGCTCAGCTATGGGCTCGAGGCAGAAGGATGCAGAGCATCCCATGTGAATTCATATCCAAACCACAGCTAGGGTTGTGCACGTGTGTGGCATGCGTGTGCAGCAGGTGGGCTTGCTTTGTTAGTCAAACTTTACAAGCCCAAACAACTTCTCTAAATTCAAAGTACCAAGTCGTTGTTAGTTTAGTGATGTTTTGTTTGTTTGATCTTGCTTTGTCTCTTTGTATACATGCGTGTCATACATATACACAACAATACGATACATGCAGAATTATACTTTGAAGATTTGCATATATAAATGATTATGGTGTGTTTAAACTTCTTTCATTAATTACTACATATTTTATACACTCACAATGTTTGCCAGCTCGCTATATAATCAACTTAAATCAGTTAAATCCATCATGCAATGTATTTCCTTCCAATTTTTTGTGATAAACTAATAGATAATTGACTAGATAAACATCCTGCAAAGTTTCAATAAAAATTTCCAAGTTTTTCTTACAATTTCCGTGGTTTTTATTCAATTTTTATCGATATCGATAATATCCCGATATTTCCATCGATATTTCCGTGTTTTTGGATTATCGATATTTCCGATATCATCGATATTTTATACCTTGATAACGACTCATGGCAGGAGGAACAACTTAGAATTTATTCAAATATTAGCGATTAAACTACTAAAATATTCTAGGGAATTTTGGGACCTCTATTTTGTTAATAATTAAGAATATTTCTATATATATATGTATGTATGTGTGTGTATGTATGTATGTATGTACAACCCAAACAATAAAGCCATTTCAATCTTCAGTTTCGGTTAGATAGGGTTTTTGTCACATCCCAGCCTGGGTCCCCACCACATCTCGGGCTCAACTCCGCCGTAGCACGATATTGTTCGATTTGGGCCCCGACCACGCCCTCACAGTTTTGTTTTTGGAAACTCACATGAGAACTTCCCAGTGGGTCACCCATCATGGGATTACTTTCGCGTGATCTCGCTTAACTTCAGAGTTCCGATGGAACCCGAAACTAGTGAGCTCCCAAAAGGCCTCGTGTATGTACATCCCAAACAATAAAGCCATTTCAATCTTCGATTTCGGTTAGATAGGGTTTCTGTCACATCTCGGCCCAAGTCCCCACCACATCCCAGGCTCGACTTCGCCGTAGCACGATATTATCTTCTTTGGGCCCCGACCACGCCCTCACGGTTTTGTTTTTGGGAACTTATACGAGAACTTCCCAATGGGTCACCTATCATGGGATTACTCTCTCGCGATCTCGCTTAACTTCGGAGTTCCGATGGAACTCGAAGCCAGTGAGCTCCCAAAAGGCCTCGTGCTAGGTAAAGATGAGAATATACATATAAGGCTTATAGGATCCACTCCCTTGGGCGATGTGAGATGTTACAATCCACCCCTCTTAGGGGCCTGACGTCCTCGTCGACACACATCCGACCAGGAATTGGCTGTGAAACCAAATTGTCACATCCCAGCCTGGGTCCCCACCACATCCCGGGCTCGACTCCGTCGTAGCACGATATTGTCCGCTTTGGGCCTCGACCATGCCCTCACGGTTTTGTTTTTGGGAACTCACACGAGAACTTCCCAGTGGATCATCCATCATGGGATTACTCTCTCGCGATCTCGCTTAACTTCGGAGTTCCGATGGAACCCGAAGCCAGTGAGCTCCCAAAATGCCTCGTGCTAGTAGAGATGAGAATATACATATAAGACTTATAGGATCCATTCCCCTGGACGATGTGAGATGTTACAGTTTCAAACGTTGAAACTCTAACATACTCTTATTCATCATTCTATATATACTCTAACATATTCTTATTCATCATTCTATTCACTAACTTTAGTGATTTAAAATGTCGTTATCAATTTTCATTCTTAGTGTTATATCTTTTTACATTGAATTTATAATATCGTGTGAGGATATGATCAGTAGCGAATTCAGGATTTCAAGATCGGAGAGTTCTAACATAAAAGTTAAAAAAAAAAAATATTAGACTAATTTGGTTCCATATCACTATTTTCTATTGAATTTGGTTAATTGAATAAATTAAGATTAATCTCAAAGGTAATAAAACCAACAAATTTTCCTTAGCAACAAAACGCAATTAGTGACTTTACAAATTAAAATTTATTAATGTAACATATATATTATTAATTGGGAGTTGGGACTAAAGTGGCAAACCTCCCAAAACCACAGCCGCCCATACTCCTACAGAAATTTCCATGCTTTTGGAACAAACCAACTCTGCAACACTAGTCGGTTTATCTTTTGACAAAAAAACAAAAGTCCGTTTCTCTTTGACAACTTATCCCTGATCTGTTATATTAGATTAAAATAAGGGAAAACTAATGAAAATGATTTGAAAGTTTTGAGTTTTAACGATAAAGATAAAATAAAGGGTAAAGTGAATAGTACCAGAATTGACTTTTTAGTGTAAAAATATAGTTTTTCGTTAAAGTGAACAGTACTGAAAGTTTTTCGTTAAAATTCCCTTAAAATAATGCATTAGGTATATACCATCTTGGCATCTTGCTATGCGCCAAAAATCTTGTGAGTGTTTCGGAAGAGAGATGAGATGGCAACTCGGATGCGTCAAAATCTGGGCTCCCCATAACAGCATTTTCACTTATTTTGGTAGAAAGAATAAAAAAAAGGAAAACTAATGAAAAGGGTTTGAAAACTTTAAATGTTAATCAAAAACCATGAACTAACTTTATTTAATGGTTAGGACAAAGCCCAACACTAAACCAGCCCAATTAAAATGGCCCAAATATTAAATTTCCGATTTTGTCCCTGACGGCAAAGCCTACGTCCGTCTAATATCTCCCTTCATTTATGGAGGATCTCTCTACTATTGTCCGTCTCCCCCATTTCTTCTTGGCATTCAAAACCTTTCATTTTTCTTTCTAATTTCGCATCGCAGCTCCATCTCTGTCTTTGCCAGTATGCAAAACCCACATATCCGGCCCCAAACTTAATTTTGAGCCGTCTTCATCTCTATCAAAATCGCAGAAGATCACCGATTCTCTCTCCCAAAATTTCCCAATAAAGATGAGCAAGGGACCTGGACTTTTAACCATCGGCAAAAAAGCAAGGTTAAGCAATCATTTTCACTCTCTATCTCTCTCTCTCTCTCTCTCTCTCTCTTTCTCTCTCTCTCTCTCTTCGTCTCTGCGATATTTCTACTGTTTTTTCGTCTCTCAATTGCGCGTAATTAGCATCTAAAACCTTGCATTTTGGCTTCTGTTGCAGATCTTCTGACGAATGACTACAGCTCCGATCGGAAATTCACCGTCTCGATTGTGTCAGTTTGGAGTTGTTACTATGTATCATCTCTTTTCTTTGTTTCATATTATTCTAGACTTCGATATTTATGTGCATGCATCTAATATTGACATGGATCCAAGCACAAATCTCAGAAAAAAAGAGGTATAAATCTTTGTCTGACTTTTTTTATTCAAATTGTTGTGCTTATTGAGCTACAAAACAACCAATGTCTGATATATTTGTATGTATAGTTTGTGAATTGGGCATGAACATTTATTTGGGTAAGCTTGAATTCTGCATATAAACTGTTTGTTTAGGTTAATTTGTTGTCTGGAGCTGAAACTTTCCTTGCTGCTATTTATCTATTTCTATTGACCTTTCGCATTAGCGAAAATGATAAATGACAGTATTCATTTAATTACCTTGCCACGATTTAGCTGTACCTCTAAAGACCTATCTGCCTGATGGAGATATTGATTTGATTGCTTTCGGTGTTGTGAATGTTGAGGAGGCGCTGGTGCACTGTCCTTGAAAGGGAATATCAAAATATGGCTGCTGAGTTTATGGTGAAAGATGTCTAGTTGATTCGGGCTAAGGTTTTTAGCTTTTACCTCTTAACTTTATTAGATTGATGATAGGTATAAGTTACAACTTAGTGTTGACGCTGCCATCTATGTCTAGTAAAGTTTTTGTGCTGAGTTGATGTTGTGTAACTTGCATTTCCCTTTAATTAAATTATTACGTGCTTGTCTATGTCATTAGTCATTATTTTGATTCTAGTTAACAAACTTTTGATTTTCCTCTGTAAGACTATTTGTTTTTGTTGTGGCAGGTCAAGCTTGTAAAGTGCCTTGTACAAAATATTGGGGTCGATATTTCCTTCACACAGTTTGGAGGGCTATGTACACTATGCTTTCATGTGCAGTCATTCACACAGAGCTGAATTGAAAATGAAGTTCAATTTCTCACAAATGAATTAAATGATTTACCAAATTTCATTCGTATAATCGGATTCTTTTTGGGAAGCTCTGAGTTGTCTAATGAAACTGGTATTTCAAGTCTTCTATTAAAAGTATATGCTGACTTATGCCTTATAAGTTATAACCGATAACCTTGAATGGTATGTAATTAGTCGTACTCTGTTGAGTGGTGACTCCACCTGCTTCTGTTCTTTTCATATAGTTTTACTTTAATCTTATGATATGTTTTTGGTGATCTGAGTGGTTTGTGATTTTTTGGATGTATGGCCCTCGTTATTTAGCTTCCCTAAACATATCCATGATGGGCTCTCATAATAGCACCTTGCTTTAATTAGTATGCTACTGCGTTTGAAAAGATGTTCTTGGTGCCCATCATGGTTTGTTTTCGACATATACTTTGGAGACTTTGGTTCTGTATATTTTCCATCTCTTCCATTCATCATTGTATGGTCCTCCAGCGGTGAGTGCTTTAACGCTTTAGCACTAGGAAACTACACCAAATCGAATTTTTTTATTTTTTTTATTTTTCTGTTTGGTTGATGAGAAAATGATGAAAAAGTTAGTGCTGAAATCTGTGTGAATTCGTGTATCTTGATTGGCACTTTGATGGAATTTGATCTGACAATGCATGTTGCAGTGGAGGAAAAGCACATGCTCGAATAGGAAGGGGGAATGACCATGATGGATATACCAATTAACAGGCTTATAAGATGCTGAGGGTATCAGCCAACGGGAAAAAGCAAATCTAATGCATCTCATGCGGCATGATGAACAACTCTTGTGGGGTACGTTGGACCTCCAGGAAAAATGAAGCTATACAGACAAGCCTTTAACCTTGTGTTTGTGGCCATTCTCAGCTCCTTGGGGTTCCTAAGTTTAGTAGGATATACAACATATGATTATGTAACAAGTAGATATGTTTTCTACAAACAAGTTTCTTCCCTTCAGTGGTGTTGAATTAAGTGTACAAATTAAGCTTGAGCACCCAAATTGGTACTGCTTTCTTGTTCGAGCGCATGTTAACCATGCAGAAAGGACCTATTACCGACTGATACATCATGCATGGTCGTCCCCAATAAAGTTAGATGGCGAGTTCAAAATATGTGGAAAGTTTTCTTGAAATTACATCAAATTATTTTTTAGCCTATGAGCAACTAAACTATACAAGCCCTAGTTTAGTTTAGATCAAATGATTTCTTAAACCAAACACTAGTATTATCACTATTTTGTAAACTAGTACTGTGACTATTTCGTAAACTAAATACTGACTATTTCTTAAACCAAAAACTAACTATTTCGTAAACTAAATAGACTATTTCTTAAATTGAACATTGAATACTTCTTAAACCGAACACTATTTCTTAAACTAAACATTGACTACTTTTTAAACTCAACAATATTTCTTAAACTAAACACTAACTATTTCTTAAACGAAACACTAATACTATCACTACTTCTTAAACTGAACACTGACTATTTCATAAATTGAACACTAACTATTTCTTAAACTGAACGCTAGTACTATTACTATTTCGTAAACTAAACACTGATTATTTCTTAAACTAAAAACCTTGTAAACTAAACACATTATTTCTTAAACCTAACACTAGTACTATCACTATTTTGTAAACTAAGCACTGACTATTTCTTAAACCAAACACTAGTATTATCACTATTATTTTGTAAACTAGTACTGTGACTATTTCGTAAACTAAATACTGACTATTTCTTAAACCAAAAACTAACTATTTCGTAAACTAAACATTGACTATTTCTTAAATTGAACATTGACTACTTCTTAAACCGAACACTATTTCTTAAACTAAACATTGACTACTTTTTAAACTGAACAATATTTCTTAAACTAAACACTAAACTATTTCTTAAACGGAACACTAATACTATTATCACTACTTCTTAAACTGAACACTGACTATTTCATAAATTGAACACTAACTATTTCTTAAACTGAACGCTAGTACTATTACTATTTCGTAAACTAAACACTGACTATTTCTTAAACTAAAAACCTTGTAAACTAAACACATTATTTCTTTAAACCTAACACTAGTACTATCACTATTTCGTAAACTAAATAGACTATTTATTAAACCAAGTAATAGTACTATCACTATTTTGTAAACTAAGCACTGATTATTTCTTAAACCAACACACTATTTTGTAAAGTAAGCACTGATTATTTCTTAAACCAAACACTAGTATTATCACTATTTTGTAAACTAGTACTGTGACTATTTCGTAAACTAAATACTGACTATTTCTTAAACCAAAAACTAACTATTTCGTAAACTAAAACACTTCTGACTACTTTCTTAAAACCGAAACACTATTTCTTAAACTAAACATTGACTACTTTTTAAATTGAACAATATTTATTAAACTAAACACTAACTATTTCTTAAACGGAACACTAATACTATCACTACTTCTTAAACTGAACACTGACTATTTTATAAATTGAATACTAACTATTTCTTAAACTGAACGCTAGTACTATTACTATTTCGTAAACTAAACACTGACTATTTCTTAAACTAAAAACCTTGTAAACTAAACACATTATTTCTTAAACCTAACACTAGTACTATCACTATTTCGTAAACTAAATAGACTATTTATTAAACCAAGTAATAGTACTATCACTATTTTGTAAACTAAACATTGACTATTTCTTAAACCAAACACTAGTATTATCACTATTTTGTAAACTAGTACTGTGACTATTTCGTAAACTAAATACTGACTATTTCTTAAACCAAAAACTAACTATTTCGTAAACTAAATAGACTATTTCTTAAATTGAACATTGACTACTTCTTAAACCGAACACTATTTCTTAAACTAAACATTGACTACTTTTTAAACTCAACAATATTTCTTAAACTAAACACTAACTATTTCTTAAACGGAACACTAATACTATCACTGCTTCTTAAACTGAACACTGACTATTTCATAAATTGAACACTAACTATTTCTTAAACTGAACGCTAGTACTATTACTATTTCGTAAACTAAACACTGATTATTTCTTAAACTAAAAACCTTGTAAACTAAACACATTATTTCTTAAACCTAACACTAGTACTATCACTATTTTGTAAACTAAGCACTGACTATTTCTTAAACCAAACACTAGTATTATCACTATTATTTTGTAAACTAGTACTGTGACTATTTCGTAAACTAAATACTGACTATTTCTTAAACCAAAAACTAACTATTTCGTAAACTAAACATTGACTATTTCTTAAATTGAACATTGACTACTTCTTAAACCGAACACTATTTCTTAAACTAAACATTGACTACTTTTTAAACTGAACAATATTTCTTAAACTAAACACTAACTATTTCTTAAACGGAACACTAATACTATTATCACTACTTCTTAAACTGAACACTGACTATTTCATAAATTGAACACTAACTATTTCTTAAACTGAACGCTAGTACTATTACTATTTCGTAAACTAAACACTGACTATTTCTTAAACTAAAAACCTTGTAAACTAAACACATTATTTCTTAAACCTAACACTAGTACTATCACTATTTCGTAAACTAAATAGACTATTTATTAAACCAAGTAATAGTACTATCACTATTTTGTAAACTAAGCACTGATTATTTCTTAAACCAAACACTATTTTGTAAAGTAAGCACTGATTATTTCTTAAACCAAACACTAGTATTATCACTATTTTGTAAACTAGTACTGTGACTATTTCGTAAACTAAATACTGACTATTTCTTAAACCAAAAACTAACTATTTCGTAAACTAAACACTGACTATTTCTTAAATTGAACATTGACTACTTCTTAAACCAAACACTATTTCTTAAACTAAACATTGACTACTTTTTAAATTGAACAATATTTATTAAACTAAACACTAACTATTTCTTAAACGGAACACTAATACTATCACTACTTCTTAAACTGAACACTGACTATTTCATAAATTGAATACTAACTATTTCTTAAACTGAACGCTAGTACTATTACTATTTCGTAAACTAAACACTGACTATTTCTTAAACTAAAAACCTTGTAAACTAAACACATTATTTCTTAAACCTAACACTAGTACTATCACTATTTCGTAAACTAAATAGACTATTTATTAAACCAAGTAATAGTACTATCACTATTTTGTAAACTAAACATTGACTATTTCTTAAACCAAACACTAGTATTATCACTATTTTGTAAACTAGTACTGTGACTATTTCGTAAACTAAATACTGACTATTTCTTAAACCAAAAACTAACTATTTCGTAAACTAAATAGACTATTTCTTAAATTGAACATTGACTACTTCTTAAACCGAACACTATTTCTTAAACTAAACATTGACTACTTTTTAAACTCAACAATATTTCTTAAACTAAACACTAACTATTTCTTAAACGGAACACTAATACTATCACTGCTTCTTAAACTGAACACTGACTATTTCATAAATTGAACACTAACTATTTCTTAAACTGAACGCTAGTACTATTACTATTTCGTAAACTAAACACTGACTATTTCTTAAACTAAAAACCTTGTAAACTAAACACATTATTTCTTAAACCTAACACTAGTACTATCACTATTTCGTAAACTAAATAGACAATTTATTAAACCAAGTAATAGTACTATCACTATTTTGTAAACTAAGCACTGACTATTTCTTAAACCAAACACTAACTATTTTGTAAACTAAACACTAACTATTTCTTAAACCAAAAACTAATTATTTCCTACCTGATTTGGATGCCATTTAACATTACATGTTGAGTCGTTTATCAAGTTTCAAGTTACTAAATAGCTAGTCCACGTTTAGAATGTTTTTCTTCGAGTATTTATGTGAACGTACATGGACATGTTTTTGTGGGTGAGAGTGGTTAATTGCCTTTTCTTTTCCTAGACTATTTATTCTCTTGTAGTCCTGGTTTTTCATGTATTTGGTGTTAGGATATATAATTAATAACAATTGCAAACCGAGAGAGAGAGAGAGAGAGAGAAATGGTTAACCAACGATATAGGAGGGAGGATGGATGGGAGGGTGATTGTTCTTGTTTGCAGGGAGTCTCAGTGAATTGCGTCACAATTTTAAGTTTAGTTGGAAGGAAGGAATTGGATCTTGGGTTATAATAGTTTCTTACTTGTCACGTCACATATCTTGTTTACAGAAAATCCAAT